AAGAGAGATTAATTGTTTGAATAATATTTAAGCGGTCGTGAATGGGGACCAAGGGAGGAAGGGGTTGTTCCCACGTGAGTCAAAGAGACTCAGGGAGGACGATGGACATGGCGGCTGCAGCAGTGAAAAGAATTTTTGTGACGTCTGCCCCGATGATTTCATCGTGCGATGTTACTTTTGGGGTTGAGGCCGTATTCATGAGGCAGATTGTCTGCCCCCTGTTTAGCTATACATTTGGCAAAGAAACTTATAATGTGCTTTTGGTTTATAAGAGCGTTTTTTTTCAAGAAGCACTTTTGAAGTTTCAGCCATGTTATTTTACTTCCTTCTCACTTCTCAGTTTGCGATTCATAGAATATACAGAAACAGGATTGTCTGTGCATGCGTGATATGCGTTATAAGGTGATCTGCTAAAACTAAGAAATTAAGTAGAGTAAACCGTAGCATTGATCCCTCAACTTTAATCAAATTGGAGCACTAGTCCATCAACTACAAATTCATTACTATTGGTCTCCCAACTTATCAAAACGTGCAGCTACGGTTATTTTCGTCAACTCCGATAGAATTTCTGTCATATGTGTCACGTGTTATGCACGCGAGATTAAATCAAGAGACAAATATGGAAAATCAAATAAGAAAAATTATATCAATAGTCCTTCAACTTTAATTCAACTGGATAAAAAGTCCCTCAACTTCAACTCAATAAGAGCAATGATCTCTCAACTTCAACCAAATTATAGCAATGGTCCTTCCAACATTACTTATTTTGACAGAATTTTAACGGAGTTGACGAAAAGGACTATAGACACACGTTTTGATGAGTTAAGAGACCAATGGTAATAGATTTTTAGTTAAAGAACTATCGCTACAATTTATTTAATTAAGTAATATTGCTCATAGCTTACTGTTAAATAAAGAGTTTGCAAACCTTAAAAGAATGGAGTCTGAATTTATTGAAAATTGAGTCAAACGGAACTTCCGGCTTTTTAGATATATAGACATACATAGATATATAGAGACAGAGGATGCAAGTACGGTGCTTGGAGTTGAAAAATATAGTTGGTGGTTTCTCTGCAGCTGGTTACAACAGACAACAGGTGAAGTTCAGCCGGAGAACTGGACCTAGAACGCCGCCTTCTCTGACACACGACAGACAGGTCCATATGGTTGCCCCTGCTGCACCTCAAAAAACCAGTGTTAAGCTTTGCCGGCATCCTCCACCACCACGACGCATGCCCTCAACTTCTTCTACACCATGCTAGCCAGTTATCTATGTTTCTGATTTGTTTGGTTAATTTTGTGTTTGATATTTCTAAAAGAACACTGATTGACTCTTTACGTATACTGAAACGTTCCTTCTCTTAATTTTGTGTATTTTATTTATTATATTGCAAGGCCCAACCAAAAAGGCCAATCACGCAACGGAGTGCCCAACCCCAAGATGGTAAAATTAGCGTAATGTCTTAACGAGAGATTTTTCAGTGTGGCCGGCATACGGGATAGTACACCATGTATCATTATAAAAATAGTAGGATATGTACGTTAAAAAGTTAATAACTTAAAAAATAAAATTTCTCACTACTTACATAAAAACACGTGGTGTACCACCCGTATTCTCGTCATAATAAAAAATTTCTTGCTTGTAACATGATAGAGATTACAATTGTAGTGTCCCTAACTAGTAATACAAAATCATATGTAAGACTTTCTTCACGTAACCTTGTATTATCGATGAATCTATTCCATATAAGACAATCTCTTGTAAACATGATAACACGAATATATGGAGATTCTAACACATGATAACATAAGCCCAAGAAACCAGATCAAAGGAAAGAGAAACATAATAAGAAAGCAGAACTGCATGAGGAGCGAGCACCAATTACAAATCCGAAGAGATTTAAATAAGAAAAATCAGGAAAATAAAAAGCAGGGTTGCTACATCTCGCTGAAATGCCATGGCTGTGTTGCTTGATTTGATTAGTTGATTTTCCCACTTGTTGCTTGCCGACAATATAACAAGGTTTTGACCTCAAATACAAATTACAAATGAATGAAAATTCTCTCGGATCTTCTCTGTGAGGATATCAAAAATTCCTGTATCGTATATGCTTATCGTATATCGTGCGGTCAAAAATCATTTTAAATATTTTTATTTAAAATTAAACATAATTAATACCTGATGAAAACTAGCCGTACAATGTATAATGAACAAACACGATGTGAGAATCTGAAGAGGATCCTCACTCCCACTGCCATTGCTTTGCCTCAACCCTCGAGTGAGATAGTTGCTGCAGGCCATTGTTTTCTTCTTAATCATTCAAAGCACCATCGATCGAAGACCTTCAAGTGGTCAAAGGGGCGCCAGGTTAATTGGGTATCTGACATGAATTCGGATCCTTGTCGGATTCTTTTTGTAAGGATTCGTGAATCGTGTTCGTTTATCGTATATTATACGGTCATAAATCATTTTAAATATTTTTATTTAAAATTAAAAACAAACAGTACTTGACAAAAATTGACCGCACGATGTACGATAAACAGACACGATTCATAAGTTCTCAAAATTCTCACTAAAAGAATCCGAAAGAGATCCTGTTGGATCCGACATCACATGGTTAGTATGGCTTTACAAAAATATCAACTAATAGTCATCCTAAACATAAAGGTATCGTTTAAAAATGTTTTTAAAATGATTGAAAGCGTTTTAGTAAAAATATTTTGGAACCAATCCTTAATAAAAATGCAACTGAGTCATGGAAAAGCATTTGATGTGGTTCTTGCAATAAGCACATAACTGATGTTTCTTATAAAAACATTTCGAGTACTTTTGAAATCAAAAGATATTTTCCAATAGCGCTTCCAGTAATTTTAAAAGTTTTTTCGAACGAACCCTAAAAAAAATCCAGTCGGTTTCTTCCTCGTTTGTTAATACTTAGGAGAATGAAGAATTAAAAGTGTTTTTTTATTTATTTTTATTAATAAGAAGGGTGGTGCTATATCTATTTTTACTTCATACACTCTTCTAGTTAATTTTCGCTGTTTGATTTTTTTTTAATTTATTCTATCTGACAATTAAAATTTAAAAAGTGTGTAAAAAGTAACAAGAGAAGTGTGAATATCACAACTTCATAAAAAAGGATTAAAAGTTTCCCATGCATGCTGCATCCAATTTAGCGACTCGGTCAACTTAGTACTCTTCCATGTTTTGACCGTATACTATCGTTATATAAGTTGACACAGGATGATCTGGCAAATTTGGCTTCTCTTTTGACACATAAGTGTGAATATCACAACTTCATAAAAAAGGATTAAAAGTTTCCCATGCATGCTGCATCCAATTTAGCGACTCGGTCAACTTAGTACTCTTCCATGTTTTGACCATATACTATCGTTATATGCAAATTTGGCTTCTCTTTTGACACATAACTTAACATGAGAAAGGTCGAGAACATGAAACTGTCGTGGGTTATGTCACATCCTGGTCTGGAGCGGATCACTTTTTGGGCCCGCTTTACCATCGTAGTACGATATTGTCCGCTTTAGGCTTACCATTTCCTCACAGTTTTGTTTTTAGGAACTCACGAGCAACTTCCCAGTGGGTCACCCATCGTGAGATTACTTTAGCCCCTTTCTCGCTTAACTTCGGAGTTCCTACGGAACCAGAAGCCAGTGAGCTTCCAAAAGGCCTCGTGCTAGGTAGAGATGAGAATATACATATAAAGATCACTCCCCTGGGTGATGTGGGATGTCACAATCCACCCTCCTTAGGGGCCCGACGTCCTCGTCGGCACACCACGGCCAGGGTTAGGCTCTGATACCAAATTGTCACATCTCGGCCCAGGGCGGATCACTTCCCGGGCCCGCTCCACCATCGTAGCACGATATTGTCCGTTTTGGGCTTACCATTCCCTCACGGTTTTGTTTTTGGGAACTCACGAGCAACTTCCCAGTGGGTCACCCATCATGGGATTGCTCTAGCCCCCTTCTCGCTTAACTTCAGAGTTCCTACGGAACCCGAAGCCAGTGAGCTCCTAAAAGGCCTCGTGCTAGGTAGGGATGAGAATATACATATAAGGATCACTCCTCTGGACGATGTGGGATGTCACAGGTTAGCTAATTCGTTTTGGCTTCTCTATTCACAGATTCAATACTACAAAATACAAAAGCCAACAATACCAATATATCATGAAGCACGAGCATTTTATAAAACAAAAACAAAAAATCATGCACCAAGGGTACTCACATGTACATGCTTTTTTGTGCAGTAATACCAACACACTTTATTTTTATTTTTTATCTCTTATACATTTTTTTCAATTTTCGACCGATGAATCAAATGAATTGAAGAAAATCAAGAGATGGAAATTAATAAAGAATGTGTAAGAGGTTAAAAACGGAGAACAATACTTGACTACTCAAAGAATGAGTAGGAGTTTTACTAAAAAATGTTCGTTGCTGTTTTATAGATTTTCTTGTTTATGATAAAACCGTTCATATTATAAATTACTCTATAAAGATTGCCTATGCAAAAAATTAATTAAAAGTAAGATTATTTTTAGTCATCGAATGATATAAAACCAGTTAAACAGAATTGGTAAAAGCACCTACTAACCGTCTATGTCTTTATTACAATAGATTGACTAAATGATCTTAGTTTAATTCTGTTTTGCAGAGATAATCTTTTCAGAGTGATTCATAATATGAATGGTTCTGATGATAAGCACAAAGCTCTGTAATTCAAATGTGAAATTTTTTTAGTAGGAGTTTCTACTCATCGTTGAGTAGCCAAACATTGCTAAAAAAAATGAGTTTGTGACCTATATGTAAACCTGTGGTTGCGATTGCACCCGTTTTCAAATGTGAACTAATTAATTAATAACTGTTCGAACGGTCATAATCAAGGTTAAACACCAACAAAAATCTTATCTTCTTTGTTCCAAGTTAATCTAATCAAATATTTCAGACTAAAATAGCAAACAACCGTACGTACACTAGTACTCTTGATCATGGAAAAGTACTTTACTCATCCATTATCTTGAAAATTAACAAGACAATTACAAAAAGTGAATTAAGTATAATTAAAGAAAGGAGTAATTAACTATAGTGACCGTCATCTTCTGATTCTTCTCCACATACTTTCCCAAAAATAGAAAACAAAAAGACAGGTCCAAATGGTGTGGTTAACACTTGACACATGATGGACCTATGTGATTAACGACAGCTCGCTCCACGTATAGCTTCGGAAAGTTGGATACCGAAAACACAAGTAACGTGGTATGGGAGTGCAGCTAGCTCTCAGATATACTGAGTAGCTCCTCCAAATAGTCTGCGCCTAAATCCTCAAACACCACAACATTTTCCAACTGATCATCATCTTCTTCATCGTTCTTTTGATGCTGATTACGGTACAGTAATTTATTATTTTCGTTCATCGATGACTTTCTCTTCATGGAGTGCCTTCTCTTCAAGGCCAACACCGGAGACGAACCCTCTTCAAAGTCATACTCCATCTCCACAAGCGACTGATGAACCACGTCCGCCGGAAAGTTGAGGACCGCCAAAGACCCCCGCATTGCAAATGCTGCTTGGTCATAAGCCAAAGCAGCAGCCTCCGCCGTGTCAAAAGTTCCCAACCAAACCCTAACACCGTTTCGCGTCGAATCTCTTATCTCTGCCGCAAACTTTCCCCACGGCCGCCGCCGAACACCTCTATAAGCAACCACTTGATCTTCGTCAGCAGTGGCACTAGAAGAATTCACTTCTTCATGGTCTTTGGAGTGAGTGGATGATACTCTTGAACCCGATGAGTTCCCATCTCCTGAAGGCGCCTCAGCAAGAACTCCATATAGAAGCATTTCTTCGGAGTCGTTCTCATTAAAGGGTAGCTGGGGAAAGGCTGATTGGTTGTGATGATCATTAGAGTTGAACATGTTCCATGAGAGAGGATCATCGTGAAAATATTCTTGAGGGTTGAAGGAAGAAGAAGATTCGAACGAGAATTCAGAATTAGGGTTTTGGAAGAACGAAGAGGCCATCTTACTCAGGGAAGAAATAACAATTTGCAGAGTTTCTTCTTCTAGCTCTATACTTTGAACACGTATTGGACTGGATATTTCAGCGAGTGATGTTTGTTTTGGGGTTAAAAAAAATATTTTGAATGCATAGGACTTTATATAGGGAGAGAAGGGAATTGAGGTCCCATTAGGACCCATGTTTTAAAATATATAAAATTAAATAAAAATAATGGTGAAAAGGATAGAAAGAGAGCTTAATTATTTGAATAATATTTAAGCGGTCGTGAATGGGGACCAAGGGAGGAAGGGGTTGCTCCCACGTGAGTCAAAGAGACTCAGGGAGGACGATGGACATGGCGGCTGCAGCAGTGAAAAGAATTTTTGTGACGTCTGCCCCGATGATTTCATTGTGCGACGTTACTCTTGGGGTTGAGGCCGTATTCATGAGGCAGATTGTCTGCCTCCTGTTTGGATGCTTTTTTTATCTCCTTCTATTTGTGCGATCACGGTTAAGTTACGTCAATATTTTATATTCTTATTATTTTTTATCTTATTATTTTTATAAAAAAATCAATACAAAATATTAACGTGATTTAACTGTAACCGCATAAAATAAAAAAAGATGAGAAAGACATCCAAACAAAGGGCAGACAATCTACCTGCGGTACTCATACCTCCACTTGCAAGTTATATGTTTGCATCGCCGGATCTTACATGGACTATGTTGTGTTGCATGTCCTTGTCACATACTTTAACTCCATCCGGTAACACTAGCTAAAATTAAAACGGGATGGCCAACTTAATTCCGTACAACTTCGACAAGAAGGTATGTATACCTGCTTTTCGCTCAAAGTGATTAGAAGGAAACGATCATCTAAAAGAAGATCAACCCAAGCCAAAACCATACATTAAACCACATTTTCTGATTAATTAGGTTTATAAACTCTTCTTAATTATTGAATAAGTTGACGCCAATAGGGTACCTGTTATGCAGTTTATTTGTTGGATCACTAGGTAGGAAGACGATATTCGAATATAAAACATTTTCGAAAATGAAATATCAGTAACCCTAATAGCTGCGTGATGAATGAATTAGAATGAATAAATTGACCTTGAAATACTCATTGGAGGAGGGTTATAAGAAGTATATATGAAAATTTTGCATATCTCCGTGTCACACCTCCTGGATTGCATAACCTAGACATGACACAGGATGCCTATATTCATACAAATTTTTTCTCTCATCAAGGATATTGGTATTTACGCAGCAAATTCCCAATTATATGACCACTCATATTTATCAAAAAGCTAATATAGTAGTTGATGGTTTTGCTAATAGGAGTTGTTACTAGTACTTCAAAAATCTTATTCTACACTTTTTATAAGTGTATTTTCTTTTCTAATTATAGAAAATTTGGAATGAAAAATGAGATTTTTAAAGTGCCCATAACGATTTCCTTGTAATTTACCACATTATTATTCATTTCATTGAAGTATTCTACCGTTGATTTTTCAAGAATTAAATGAAAAGGGCAAATGAAAGTTGCCCCACTTGGGTTGGTTCAAAAAAAAAAAAAAAAAAAAAAAACATAAGGAGCAACACAATTTCCACTCAAAATTAATATGAAGTCCACTATTTGACTCCCTATATGTAGTCCTTATATTTAAGAATTTTGTTGAGGTACCCGTCGAGTTCCTATGTATTGAAATACTTTGAGGACTTCAATTCCGGCTCATTGGAAGTCATTTGTCCCTATTTTAGGGACTATATGGTTGTAAGAACTCCATTTAGGGTGGAGATGCTCTAAGGTCCTTATTTAGAGGACCTCTGAGAACTAAATGCATATTAGTCAAAAATATTAGTTTAGATCCAAAAGCTTAAAATATTTGACAACTTAACAAAGCCAAAAAAAAAAAAAAATTGTTTTCTAATGGTTCATGAATTTTAAGTTAGTTTTGCTTTGTTAAGTTATCAAATATTTTCAACTTTTGAATCTAAACTAATATAGTTTGTGGCTATTGTGCAATTAGTTGTCACATTTCCTCTAAATGAGAATATTAAGAGAGCAAATATACCGACAGCCATACGAAAGTAAATCGTTGATTGGGTTGGCTCGGGGAAGACGCTAGAATGAATGAGCTGGTTGTTGAGTTGGAAATGGGGATCATCCAGGGCTTTTGTTCTTCCTCATGTATGGACCACCTAATTTTCGACAAGAAACCAAGAACCACTACTATACATACTCATTTGTCACTATCAATTCAACATGGGAGAAACTTTCAAAGCATTAATGCAATTAATATTTGATGTAACTCGATCACAGTTGAGTTTTCTTTCCTTTAAAACAGAAAAATAAGATGGACCAGAAAAAAAAGAAGAGAAAAAATGGAAAATGAAAAGATAAAGCACATATGCAGCCACAGGAAAACAAAATTGCCTATGGCCGTTGGAGCTCTATTGGGATTTAGAAGGTGCATGAACCTGTATAAATCATTCAACTAGGTATACCGCTGCCTTCAAGTTTTGTGGCGTTTAAATTATTGGGCTCGGAAACTGCCATATTTTATTTATTTTTGGTGACAAGTTCTGTATTTTTGTGGTCCAGAGACCTCACACGCATAATCTGGAAGGGCAGATATATGGGTTTTCAGAGGACGACCCGTTAAAAGGCCATCTATTATTTCATGAGGCCAATCTAGGTTCATTTCCCTCGTGGGAATAAGCTATATCTAGTTAAACATCACATCCATCCATGGCCCACAACGTTATCATGTCATCTTAATTGTTATACACAAGTTGTATATGTTTTTCTTTTGTGATATATGCGTACAGAAATTGTTAAAAAAGAGAGTACATGTTGTATATACAAGTATTAGGAGATGAAGAATTGAATAGAGAGATTCGGATGCACGTTTAACAGCACATAATTACCATTTAAGATACAAACCGGATTGTTTGCTTGCTACTTTTATCTTTGCAAAAACCAAATTATGCTTTTGCATTTTTGTATAAATAAAATAAAAGATTAGGAAGATATTAAAGAGGATGCTATAGTTTGCATGGTTCACCAAGCAATCTGTAAAAACGTTTGATCACAGATTTAAGGCCAATGTCGTTATATGCGTGCATTTCTCTTGTTTCACCTATAAGATTTCAATGGTGTTACTTTTTCTGGTTATCTTTCATTAAAATTAAGAGATCATAAAGAGATTATAAATTCTAATTAATATTTGAGTGTTGTAATGCTTGTCCCTCTTGTTCTTAACACAGCCTTTTTGACCAAGCATTATCCATAATTTGCCTCTTGATTAGCCCTCGTGCATGTGGTTGCATTTTCATACACCATTTCAAAGATAGAATATCTTTACTTAGGAACAGCCACACTTATTTGTATGTTTAATTTCATAACACGTAGAGAACAAGACATTAATTGTATGGTCGTATACGTCGCTAGGGGTTAGCTTCGTAGTTTTTTTTTTTTTTTTTTTGGTCAAAGAGATAAATGGTATTAAATTTGAATCGAAAGGTTTACATCCTCAGCTGAAGTATTAAATAGAAAAAGAGGATCAATACAATCCCACTCAAACAAGTCTCCTTCTTTAAAAACAAACGCTGCCACGGATTAGTTTCGTAGTTAAAGAACTGGAAAGGATGATGAATAACAGTAGAGTAAGTTCAGAATTCAAATCTTTTCAATATAACCATGACTACGTGTGTGTGTGTATTACACACAAATATGTTCAACTAAAATAAATACACACAAATATATAAATATCTACATCAAACCAGACATGATTCCCATTGAAAAACAATAAAACAATATTTAAATATCTAGTTGTAAATCATGGTTGTCTGTTAAATTGGCAATACTACAGCTTAAAATATCACGAAGACATAGGCCATGTGGTGCATTGTATGAAACCAGCCCATCGTCACTTTCAATGAAAGAAGATTCGGGTGATCCTTAATCTTATAAAATAAAACAAACATCCAAAAGGAAAATAAAGAAAGAATTACGGGATAACCTTGTTGTTGAGGAAGAATAAGCATGTGTTTCATACGGTGCGTTTTAAATTTAATTTCTGACGCTGGTGAATTACACGATAGTATTCAGAAAAATAATGAAATGCTTCTGTGAGGCTTTTCGACCCCCGATAGGGTAGACTAACATGATAAAGTCATCATTTGATTCTTTAAAAAAATAAAAATAATCAAGTTCTATAATAGGTACAGTCAAATTTCAAGTGATACATACAGTTTCAGTAGTATTAGTGAAAAAATGTTTATCTTAATTTCTCAAATTTTATCCTCAAATCTCTCAAGTGCTTTGGATATGAATCTTATCTGACTGAATTATAACTAAGATATAAATGTACCCCTGCTTAATAATAAATTAATACAAGATTAGCAACTAAGATTGGTGCAGTTGTGTTGTGTGTTTCAAAAGCTGGTCAGGCTATAATCACTCCCTAATTACTTTGAACTAATTATCATTGTGTGTGTGACTGAAAAGAAGGTTGGTCAATCAAACTTCGATTGAAACGTATTTGAAAAGTCTTCCGAAGTTCAACTCTCTGCTATGAATTTTGGTGAAAAGATTCAAAGTCCTGACGTATGTGATTTCGTGGCTGTTGAAAAGCATTTTTTTTTTTGGGTCAAATGGAGAAAAATTAGGCTATACTAGTTATTTGTCAATATCTGCGTGCGAGACATTTATGCTTCTACGAAGGGTGAGGACCATTACGACCAAAAAATCTGCCCATCTAACCGCGCTGTCTCATACAACTATTTTTTTTCCTGTAATCCATGACCTAATAGAACACAACAATGAGGGGCAACCCACCCGTACAGATCTTCCACCAAATTTATTGATAATAAACGAAAGTAAACAAAGAAGATACATGCGGCTATGCCAAGGACTACAAAAACAAAAACGCAACATCCCCTTCGTAATCCCGCATTGTGGGTCTTAGTCGGACATCCCGGTGGTTTGTGAGTCTGCAAGAGTTAGTGAATTATATTGAATAATTAAAGGGAACTATTATTAGTACTTTAAAAAATTTATTCTGCACTCCTCACAAGTATATTTTTATTTCTAATTA